CAGCCCCCATGAAGCATCATGCACCTCTGGCCTATGAATAGTGCCAAAAGCCTCATCTGGGTCAGACTCACTCTGTAGAGACTAAATAATTGAATCCTTATTTTCTCTTCCACTTCTCTCGTTTTCCTCTTATTCTCGATCTTTCTCTCTTGCTTCCATCAGATCAGCCCTCCCCATCATCTTGTTCTCTTTGTCAAACGGTAATAACTAAAATGAGTCATGTAATGGAAGAAAAAAAAACTGAAATGTAACATGTCGTTCAAATAGGAAGCTAAGTTTGGAGCTGTTACATAAGCCGTCACTGCTTGGTGTAGACAAATGAGAGAGGGGAGGTAAAGAGAAAGATGGTGAGACATGAGAGGAGGACAAGGAAGAGCAAACGAAGCTGCTGAATGGTGATGGCTGCAGTGTATAAACTCTCAAAGCATACCAACTACATACTTCAGTAGTGTGGTCTGAGATATTATAAGGGGAGTAATGCTAAAAGCCACTTGTAGGAGATGGACCTGTTGTATATGAATGGGAGAAATAGTAACTGTAAATGTGATGAGTGGCGCTAAAAGGTTAATGCTCTATCGAGTTTGAAAATAACTTAGCACCTTCGCTAAACCCAACCCTAAACCTAAACCCTAAAGGCAAATGTGATATTGTCACAAACACCAGCTGGAGTGCCCTTGATGGACACCAGAGGGCACTCCATCCCAGACTACTGCCACTCTATCAAGGACTTCATTCCCCATAATCCTCTGCCTGGTCTCAGCAGCACTCATTGTTTGCACCTGTGTCTCATTAGCCTTGTTAGCTCACCCTATATAAGCCCAGTTCTCTCTGTCAGTCATTGCTAAGTCTTGTGTGTGTCACAACTGCATTTCCTAGCCTTTTATCCAGGTTCGCCCATGTCTTGGTTCCTGGTTTTTGATTCCCTTATCGTGGACTTCTCTGTTTGCCTCAGCCCCGAACTCTGTCTTTGTTTGGATTATTTATTGTGTGTGACCTTTGCCTGTTTTTGGATTACATTTGTGGATTACCCCTTCAGTAAATACTGTTGTACAAAAGGCTCGGCTGTCTCTAAGTCACGGATTATTCTGACCAATCAGAATGTTCAGCGCGGCTGCAATGTCACCACGGAAGGCGGAGCTGAATCACAGGCTAAAGAGAGACACAGCAAATGTGAGAAGATAGAGTTTGGCAGCGGTATTCTAGTTCATTCAGAGTTACTTTAAAGACCACATTGACTTCGAGTTTATACTGGGTTACAGTGTGCGTACATGTGAAGTAAGTGATCAGCTGTTGTTCTTGTACCGATTGAGGAGTGGCCGGTTGGCATGGCGCTGCCTGTATTGCCTGCTCGATTCAGTGCATTCGCGAGGATTTCGGTGATCTTCCTCGTTGTGAGATACTTATATGCTGTACATTGTGTTATTATTGAATATTAACCTTATCATTGTGTGTGCGCGTTATGCGACGGTTCTTGTTTGCATGTAGCAATCATCCAATTAGTCCATATCCAGGCATGTTACCCTGCCCTCGTACTGCATTCATGTGCGGATAGCGCCACTTGTGGACATTTAGAGCATAAGCGCCCATGTTAAATAGTGTAATATAGCATGGTTATATTTATATTGGGTGCTGTTTAGTGTTTTAATGTTTATTGTGGAACATTTGTATATTTATATAATTAAGTTTATTTCTCTTGTTTAATCCATTTCAGAAAACCACATCCATGTATACCCACAAAGCTTTCAGTAAATCAGACATCAACCAACTCGATTGAGTGCTTCTCTTCAATTAAGAAACCATCTCACTCAGTCCTGACAGACTGCCTACTGTGTTTCACACCCCCATACTACAACCAACGAACCCTTCACTTCAGGTAGGGGTAGGGTTAGGTCAAATAATGTCATATTTGCATTAAAAGTGACATAACTGAGCGAATGACACTCAATGACAGTTGTCATAAACATGCATAAAACCTCCTTCATATTCATGACATGTGTCATGTCATGATTATGAAGGCGTCATGTCAGTCTTATGCACACCCCTTCAAGTAAAGTGTTACCAAATATTCTGACACAATCCTAATTAGGATGTGGAAATGATTTGGGGAGTGTTATTTGTTAGTTGGGAAATCCTAGTCTCTCACACATGCACATTTCAGCTCTCTCTTTTTGCAGACTGGAGAGAGTTCACGGCCACCATAGGTCTGTAAATTCTAGATTTTGCCAGGGAAGGGGGGAGAATTGTAGAGCGGTAATCCAGTTTTTGCGACAGAGAATGAAAACGATCGTTCAGCTTCAGTCCTGGTAATCCCTTGAAATAACAAGCTTATGTACCAGAGCTTCCATAATTTTATCTAGAATCTTTCATACAGTGGCATTAGAATGACATCAAAGCTGGATCAGTAATTCACGGATCCAGCAAATCAATAGACAGATGATTCGTATTCATTCTTAATACACGGCAGAGTGCAGCATGGGCTAAAGCTGGTGTTTGTGGCTCAGGTAGGGTTTTCCTGAGATAAATGGTCTTGTCTGATGTTCATATCACTTTGCTTTGAGCTTTATATGTAAAATAGATAATGTTCAAAAGTTAGGGTCAGTCAATTTGATAAAAAAAAAAGAATGAACTTTTTATTCGCAGTGATATATTAAATTGATCAAAAGTGACAGGAAAGACATTTACAGTGTTAAAAAAGATTTTGATTGACATGTGTCATGTCATGATTATGAAGGCGTCATGTCAGTCTTATGCACACCCCTTCAAGTAAAGTGTTACCAAATATTCTGACACAATCCTAATTAGGATGTGGAAATGATTTGGGGAGTGTTATTTGTTAGTTGGGAAATCCTAGTCTCTCACACATGCACATTTCAGCTCTCTCTTTTTGCAGACTGGAGAGAGTTCACGGCCACCATAGGTCTGTAAATTCTAGATTTTGCCAGGGAAGGGGGGAGAATTGTAGAGCGGTAATCCAGTTTTTGCGACAGAGAATGAAAACGATCGTTCAGCTTCAGTCCTGGTAATCCCTTGAAATAACAAGCTTATGTACCAGAGCTTCCATAATTTTATCTAGAATCTTTCATACAGTGGCATTAGAATGACATCAAAGCTGGATCAGTAATTCACGGATCCAGCAAATCAATAGACAGATGATTCGTATTCATTCTTAATACACGGCAGAGTGCAGCATGGGCTAAAGCTGGTGTTTGTGGCTCAGGTAGGGTTTTCCTGAGATAAATGGTCTTGTCTGATGTTCATATCACTTTGCTTTGAGCTTTATATGTAAAATAGATAATGTTCAAAAGTTAGGGTCAGTCAATTTGATAAAAAAAAAGAAATGAACTTTTATTCAGCAGTGATATATTAAATTGATCAAAAGTGACAGGAAAGACATTTACAGTGTTAAAAAGATTTTGATTCCAAATTAATGCTGTTCTTTAAACTTTATATTCTTCAAATAATCCTGTGATTTTGTAGAAAATCAGTTTCTACAAAAATATTAAGCAGCACAAATGTTTTTGATATTCATAATAAGAAATGTTTCTTAAGCACCAAATCAGCATATTAGACTGATTTCTGAAAGATCATGTGACACTGAAGACTGGCAGCTTTGCCATCACAGGAATACATTACAGAAATAAATTACATTTTAAAATGTATTTAAATAGAAAACAGTTATTTTAAATTGTAATATTTCCCAATATTAATATTTTTCTGTATTTTTGATCAAATAAATGCAGCCTAGGTGAGCATTTTTTAAAATAAAGTGCTGCCAATTTGTATAGTTAAACTCTGTTCAGTTTATTTTACATCACTGTGAAGGCATTTTACAGTCTGTTTTTGCATCAGGGATTTAATGACTGACTCCCTGAATGAACTGTTGACGGTGTTCTGAAATAGTGTCAGGGAAAATAAACTCATTTGGGGTTACAAGAATTGTAATTATGTCTGCTGAAGCTCTGCAGTAATCCCTCTATTAATAAAGTTTTAATTATACTTAACAGCTGAATTGAGTATACATTGTTCCTTCTAGGATGTTTTGTTTACTGAATCGCAAGATTCGTCTCCAGAGCCTTCATTTAACAAAATAATTTCCTAAATAAAGGTGTACTCAGTAATGTTTTTATCATTAAAAAAGTTTTATACATAAAGAAAAAAAGCACTTTTGAGAAATCTTAGAATAATGTTTGCTTAATGCTTAGTTTAATTCTGTGAGTGGCCCCCGGTTATTATCTCAGAAATAAAAAATGGTTATTGCAGATTTTTAAAGATGTTTAAAAATATCTTGGCAGTCTTATATGAAAGATGGTAAAAATCCAACCTGGTCTCATAAAAATACGTACCTCTGGGTACTTTTCTGCAACACCATTTCTACATACCTTACTGCACGTTTCGCCGCAGTTTCAAAGAGAAATGTCCACTGAGTGGCGCTAAAACACGGGTTCAATACGTGAACCCTGGCACGTTTTTATTACGTTGATATAGGTACGTATTGCTGTGTTTTTATTATGTTGCTTCAAGTACGTATTGCGGCGGTTCAGAATTCAAATATCCGGTGACTGTCACTAAAAGTTAATGCTCTATCGTGTTGGAAATATGCCCTACACCAAACCAAACCCTAAATCTATAGTGTTAACAAATACAAAACTGATATAAAAACGCATTTGTTGATGCAACTGTGCCATTTAAACTTCCTTATATGCAGATTTGGACTGTTTTGTCGAACCGTAGTTACTCAGGATTCTAACTGGAGCTCCTCACCTCTCAAGTACGTCTCCGTACTCCGTGACCAAACAAACCTACCGTCTATGAAAACCCATAGATATGAAGCTGGATATGTGATGCTAACATTCAAAAGCATCAGTTTTCAAATCTCCCAGCATATTAAAATAGTTTTGAAGTCATAACATAATATTCTTCAAGTAACTGTGCGAAAATTACACTTTATTAATCAAAACTGTAAATTTGTGTGAAAAGTATTAAAAGGTGTCGGAGTTTTACTGCCTCTAGTGTTCATTTCTTTTGGAAACTGCAGTGATATGTACGCGTCTTGCGAAAATTGCCACCAGGTACGTTTTTGCCATGAGACCAGGTAGCAACAATCATAGTAGATATTAGCTTCAGTTTCTTGTTCACACTGGAAATGGTCAAGTTAAGCGTAGTACATTGTATGATACATTATTCCTTGTATATACATAAAAAATATAAATATAAATATATATATTTATTAATACATTTATTTTGAAGTTTATAAAACTGTGTGGTATTAGGCAGAGAAAACACACTGGCTGAAAAGGATCTAAACAAAAGATCCTGTGTGAAATTGGAAACAAATAAAAAGAAAACTTCACAAGTTGCTTCCACAAAACATTCATTTGTGTTGCTCATTTGGTTGAGTGACCTTCTTGTGCGTCACTGGATTTGTGCAGTGGTGATAAACAACGAGCTCTCCTATAGGAAAAGATTACAATAGCTTAGTCAAGACAGGAAAATAATACAAAAGCCAAACAGGCAAACAGCAGTCAGAGTGCTACAGTATAGGAGAAAGACAGAGGAGGAGAGGGGGTGAAGGAAGAGGGCGGTTAAAGAAGTGCTCTGCAGCATGGATGCTCTGAGGTAATTAGGCTCGTCGGAGTCAGACCCAGTCTGGCTCAAGGACACAGCCTAGAAGCACAGACATAATTTCCTCCTGCATGCTGCCACTAAAATTTCTGCTCACTGAGGAGAGGACAGTGAGAAAGACACGTGTTCATTTTAGGGGCTGTTTGATGGCATGTGTCTGGCTTTGCAACAGGGTCAGAAATAAAGGGAGGCTTAGGCCAAAAAAAAAAGCAATGAAAATGACAAAAGCTGTAATTGCAGAAATGACTATGTGGTGAACAGAACACACCAAAAAAGTAAGTATATGTAATTTTCTCTGGAATCGTTTTTTGTTATACATTTGTTAAATTCATTATATCTGAACTTTGTCCTGATATATTTATTTGATTAAAAAAAACACACTAAAAAGAGAATATTGTGAAATTGTTTTACCATTTATAATAACTGTTAATAATTTATTTCTGTGATGGTAAAGCTGAATTTTCAGCAGCCGTTACTCAAGTGTCACATGATCCTTCAGAAATAATTTTAATATTCTAATTTGGTGTTTTTTTTTCAAAAAAATCTTATCAACCCAAAATTTTTGCATGGTAGTGTATGTACAGGATCCATCCACATGTTATTGTAAACTCAAGAAATATCCATGAGCAAAATGGAGAAAGAAACGGCTTAAAATTATTCATTTTAGTTTGTGTCATACTAACCTGAGATTGTCTTTGAATAGACCCCCTGCTCATCCTTCCTCAGATAAAAGACAGACAACTTACTAAAATTTTTTTTTTTTTGTGGAGACAGGGTTATCTCATGCAAGCTCTTGGAAAAATTCTGTGGTCATCTTGTCGACGAGGATGAAACTGCTGTCCAGGGGAAGTTCATACTCAAGGTGGCACAAGATATATATATATATATATATATATATATATATACAGTGGGACAAAAAAGTATTTAGTCAGCCACCAATTGTGCAAGTTCTCCCAC